CTCAGCAGGGTGTCCTCGCTGTCCTTTGTCCCTCGTGGGGGTGTCCTGGCAAGTGGCATTTGGGCTTGTGCTGGGATGTTGCTGACCTGCCCACACCGCTGCTGCCAGCGCGTCCGCTCTTACAGCCCCTCTCCTGCCCTTTGTCCCTGCTCCTTCTCCCGCATTTCATCGTTCCTGTTCATTCTCCATTCAGGCCAATCCTGACATTTCTGTGTGGATTCCCTGGCAGTGAGTGCGTTAAATGGGGTGGTGGCACCATGGCTCTTGCAGAGAGACATCACGGTCTGCAAATCTGACGGTGTTTTGGGAAGGTCTTGTGAGTGAAGAAGGCCCGAAGGGTTTGATAGGCTTGATTTTCCATGGCTTTCTGACACTGTCTCTCACRGGAAGCTTTGAAAGCTCCTGCACTGTCCAAAGGCGAGAGAGAAGACCTCTTAGGTTAGAACTCCTGAGGTCTTTAGGCTATGTGCTGTTCAACGTGTTCATAAATGAGCTGTAAAAGTGAGTTCAAAAGCTTCCTGGCAATGCGTATTTATTTAAGGAAGTGGAACCCGATTGTCAAACCAGATCTTACAATGCTGAGTAACTGGCAATGTAATGAGAGATGGAGCTCTTTTATTAAACACAAAGCATTGAGAAAAAACAGCCCTGCTGAACTACCCGGGGACAGGCTCTGAATTTCCTTTACCAGCAATGAAAGAGGTCGGGAGTCCCTGTGGACAACCCTTCCCCAGACACCAGTTCTGTGCGCGGCAGCAGGCAAAAACACTGATGCAGTGCTGCAAAACAGAACGGGACAAGGAGCAATCTGGAAAACAGTGTTGCTGCCCTAAAAATGCACTGCACATCGGCACGCTGGCTGCTCCTGGCAGCGCCGAGCCCCTTTCTGTGAGGGGTATTGCAGAGCTGGACGCTGCTTGGCGGTGGAGAACAACCTTGGTAGCACTTCTGGGATGTGCTCAGGAAAGGAATGACCGAGTATCCCTTATACCGCTTGGAAAAGATCTGCCACGTGCGAGGTTCAACGTATAAGTGAGCGCRGAAAACCAGCCCAGACACGTCCAAAAATGGAGGTTTTACAAGGTGGCATTAAGCACAACGGCACAGATATAATTTGCAGTTCAGGAAGTCCCTGGGCCCTCAGAGCTAGGACTTGGCAGAGAGCAGCAGGGAGCTGCTTTGCTCCTGAGCTCTTTCCTAAGCACACGCTGCACGACACGAGAAGAGAAGGCTGAGGGCAGATCTGATCAACAYCCGAGGGGAGGATGGAGGCAGGAAGGGGCCAMGCTCTTGTGGGTGGTGGCCAGGGGCAGGCCAAGGGGCAGTGGGTGCAGGTTGGAGGCCGGGCAGCTCCATGTGGCCGTGGGGAAGAACTTGTTTGGTGGGAGGGTGCCCGAGCCCTGGTTGAGGCTGCCCAGGGAGGCTGCGGAGGCTCCTGCTCTGGAGACCTTC